GCCTTGTTTTCATAGGATGTATGAAATAGAATATAGCTGTTTTTATGAATCTGAAAGAAAACTGCCAATACCAGCCAAATAATTCATTAGCATTGATTCACAGATATTAAGTCCATGGTAATCTATTTTGTAATTGGGATAGTGTATTTACTAATATTAATGACAGAGCCAACATCTAACAAGCTTCTCAAGCCTTGAACCAGTGCTATAAAACCCTTATGGAGGACAATCTTTTTTTGGCAGAGGTGGGAGGGGTGGGGGGGGCACTCTGAAAGGAACAACTACTGTTTCTGAAGGGAGCCATTTGTTTGTCAAATGAAAGGTTTAACCACCATGTGTAGCCGTGCTTTTTCTCAGTCTTGTTAATGCCTTTGTATTCTCTTTTCAAAGATGACAAAGGGATTTTTTTTTGGAACTGTGTTTGCAGTTTTGCGAAGCAGGATCTTCACAATCCAGGCCCGTTGCCAGGGTCGGACAGGAAGGGACTGTGGAGTAGTCCAGCTAGAACAAGTCGTGATTCTGAAGATTGATTGGTGGATTTTTCCCTTCTTTCAAAAACCTGGGCATCCTGATGAGGAGGTTTAAGAAAAGTGACTATAGTTGTGGGTGTGGTTGTTTTGGAAACAACAAGGCTGTTCCTGCCGTGCAGTGCATGCCAGGAAAATCTGGGGAGGAGAACCTAGCCCCACGTGATCACAGGGGCATTGAGATGCTGGCCCCCTGGGCTTTGGCTGTATCCACACCCTTCTCGTGGCAAAATGAAATTACAAATCTCTGTCCCAGAAGCTGATGCCAGTCAGTGTTTGCGGCTTCCACCTCTCAGTACCGGCCATGCTCCCATGTTGTCTGCTGATAACTGCCAGGTACTACAGTGATTATTGGCTCCATGCTCGTTGAGATTTTGATGTTTTGAGATTTAGAAACATCCATATTCATTTTGTTTAGAAAGTAATGTGTTGATGTTTTATTCCGAATAAATAAAGGCAGCTATTTTGTGTGTCATTTGGAATCTATGTAATAACACACACAGAAGACTAGCATTCTCAGATGCCTGTTCCCAAGGTGTTCATGTTCCCCTGATAGCTTCCTCCAGTACACCCTGCTGTTTCTCAATGCACCTTGAACCAGTCTGCCCTGCGGTTTCCCAGTGGCATGGCCAGTAGCCAGGAAAGAATAATTCAGAATGTGATTCATTTTCATGGTGCCCAAATCAAAACATCAGCCAGTTTAAAAGACTGCAGACAACACGTGTAAGCTGTAGGAGGCATAAATCTGTCAAGTTGAAAGGTAGGATGATGTTCTAGAAGTCTGTGGTTTCTAATCTAGTAAGAGGTAAGAAAACAGGAGCGGACAGAAGACTACAAAGGGAACAGTCAGCGAAGCTTGGGTGGGGCAGAGGGTGTAAGAACAAGTATAGAAAAAACAAGTAGTAATGGAAAGAACAGAGCTGTTGTGCTCTGGGAGTACTCTTACAATGAAAGGGGAAACTTCTCTAGATAATTTAGGAAGCTGAGCTTTATTCTAAAACAATTCCTGGCTGGCACCCAGGATATAACAGGAGTTATAGTAATGCTTATACTTAGCGTTCATTGAGCATTGCCAATGGTCCAGGCACTGTTCTAAATGCTTCACATCTGGTAACTCTTTTAATCACATTATAACGCCATGAAATGAGGGCTTTATCCCTTCCATTTTAACCTGTGAGGAAACTGAGGCACAGAAATGGTACACAACTGGGGCACCTGGGTGGCTCAGTCGGGTAAGCATCTGACTCTTGGTTTTGGTTCAGGGTCATGATCTCACAGTTTCTGGGTTCGAACCCTGTGTTGGGCTCTGTGCTGAGAATGTGGAGCTTGCTTGGGATTCTGTCTCCCTCTCTCTCTGCCCCTCTCCAACTTGTGCTGTCTCTGTCTCTCTCAAAATAAATAAGTAAACTTAAAAAAAAAGAAGAAGAAATGGTACACAACTTCCCCAAGGTCACATAGCTAGTAAAAGAGCCTGGAAGAAAGTGCCTGTCCTCGTAACCTTCCAGCATGGTCTTGGGAATATCAAGATGTAGGAGTTAACATGCTTTGAAAAGCTAAAAGCACTATTTAGAAATTCTAGAAGATAGAAATTGTTGGTCCTTAGCCCAGTCTTTAGGTCAGGAATTTCGTATCACATACAAAAATTAAAGGCATTTGCTCAGAGGCCAAAATCAATGTAAAGCCATTTGAACTACACGCCTGTTGAGCCCTAGTGACTTGGTTTATATCATGAACTACATTATGATATAAGCCAGCTGCAGGATGGAAGGTCAGGGCAAATTTGAAGCCAAAAGATGGTTTAGGTAGCCAACCGAGAACAGTATTGTTGCTCACCTTACAATTTTTGCCATTCATGTTGGGGAAGTAGATCTTGGTGAGGAGTGAAATGGGGAAGGGGAATGGCCCCAGTACTGCTTTTCTGGCAGACAAGGAGTCGGGGGGGGGGGGGGGGGGGGGGGGGGGGGGGGGGGGGGGGGGGGGGGGGGGGGGGGGGAGGACCAACTACTTCCCGAGTTTGTATAGAGGAACTGAATCTTGCATACCACTGATACCACTGATAAATCATTTAATCTTTTGGCACGCTCCACCCAACTAACCCCTCGAAAAACAAAGACAGTATTTAGACCTGGAGGTGAGTGAGCCGCCTGCAGGGGGTGGAGCTGGCTCTGCCTCCCAGCACAGGGACCCAAGCAGTCAGCTGAGGAGGCTCCATTATAACCATAGGGCAGCCTCATGGCTAACCTAAAGGGTCATCTAGTAGCCTTCCTCCGCCGAGAGTAACAAGCCAGTTCGTCAGAGGTTCTTGGTTCAGTGCTACCTACCACGCTCCCAACCCACACTGCTCTTAGTTGGTGCCCAGAGGGTCACTGCCTGTTCCCACTCTCCTCTCTCAAATGCACTCAACACAGGATGAGAAATAACCGGGACCCTAGTGGACACTGAGCCTGTGTGCTCACAAAAGTTTAATCTGTTACCTAATTCCTCATAAAGCCCAGCAAAGGGAATACCATCAGTTTTATAAACAGAGGAGAAAATGAGGCCCAGAGAGGTTCACATGCCCAACCCAGGATTTAAACTTCTCTTCCAACTTCACACATTCAATACATACGCAAGCACTTGCTGTGCCCAGGGCTAGCTCCAGCCCCCAAACGAAGCCGACAATCTATTGGAGGAGATAGACATGAAATAGTCATCCCAGCAGATGGAAAATTTCAAAAGTGACAAGTTCCACTAAAACCTCCAGTAAGGCCACTTGAGTGTATCCAGGAAAGCTTCCCTGAGGAAGTGATGTGATCTGAAATCTGACAGGTGTCAAATGGGTGAGGATGGGGTTGAGAGGATCCTATGTGGAGGACATGGCATGTGCAGAGGCCTTGTGGGAGTGGGCATGATGAGGGAGAGTCTGATGGAAGGCCCAAGTGTCTGGAGGGCGGAAGTAAGAGGAGGCAAGGTGCAAGATGACGCTGGAGAGGCTGCGGGAACCAGAACCTGCAGGGCCTTCTAGAAGTTCCCAGAGCAGTAGAGCTTTTGAATGGTTTGAGACTTTGGGAAGTGACAGGTCGGATTGGTACTTAGCAACAACCACACTGGGCCCAACGAGGAGGGTGTCCGAGCAGGTGCAGGGCTGCTACAGACCAGCAAGAAGGTAATATGGATGAAAAAGAGATGCAGGGTTAAAGAGCTTTTTAGGAAGTAAAAATGCTCAGATATAGATTGTGTGCAGAGTGAGGCATCCAGGATGGCTCCCAGGTGCTGATTTGGGTTCCTGGTAGAATCATTAGCTGAGATGAAAGACACTGTAAACCTGCTTTCGTTTCTCTATTCCACACTGCCTTACACTAAAGATTTGAAGGTGGTCACAATTTGTGCAAAAGCAAATAGGCTTAAGAAGTGGTTCTCAACAAAGGGTAGTACTTTTTGGTTGCCAAAATGACTGAGGGGCACTGATGGCATTTAGTGGACCAATGGTGACCAGGTTGCTGAACAGTCCTACAAAGAGTCCCACATGTCAAGAGTTGTTTCACCCTGAATGCCAACAGCACCCTTGAGGGGAAACACGGCATAAAATGCCAGATGTGTGTTATAAGAAATGATGGGGTGGGGGCAGGTGCCTGAGCGGCTTGGTCAGTTAGGCTCTTAATTTTGGCTCAGGTCATGATCTCAGGGTTCATGGGACTGAGCCCCAGGTCAGGCTCTGCACTGACAGTGCAGACAGTGCAGTGCAGAGCCTGCTTGGGATTCTCCTACTCTCTCTTAAAGTAAATAAACAACAAAAAAGTGATAGGATATTCTAGAGATATTTGGGGAAACTGCCCTGGTCTTTCCTCCTATAATACAACTCTTGGGATCAGATGAAGAATGGATAGGTGGCAAATTATGCCCATCTCATTTTTGACCTTAACCTTTTCTTTGGTGTGGCAAGGGTAGAAGTGTGTGGGGGGGGACGGGGGGGATAGATATCCAGTAAGCTTTTCACAAGAATGTGAATAAAAACGATGGCCTTCATTTAAAACTGTATATACAACATTTCGCACGTGTCCTTCGCCCTCCTCCTGTTGTTGGCTCCTTCTCACCTCTGTCCCATACCCCATCCATCACTTTCTACCTTCTTAGTGTTTTGCTGCCTGCTCTCACAATACAGGTCGCTATGAGAAATTAACCTTTTTCCTAGTAATCTGCCCCCACTCTCATTAGAAAGTGAATTGCGTGAAACACAGCCCTTGCCTGTCCTGCTCGGCGCTGGGTCCCTAGCGCCCAGTTCCGCGTGTAACGCTCGAAAAGAGGGAGTTTTCCTGCTACTTCAAAGGGTCCATGGACCCTCTACAGTACACTCACAGGAACCGAACCGGGAACCCACCCACTCCACGCAGCCCGGCACGCCCCCTTTCCTGCCGGTTGACTGAAGCGGCCTGCGCAAGCGCGCCTCTGGCCCCGCCCACAGCATACGTCGCCGCGGCCGTTACGCCGCTAAAGCGTCTCGGCGCGCGATTTAAAACCAGCTTCGGAAAGGGAGAGCAAAATGGGACCTCCTTGCCCAGGTGAGGCTGCGTGGGTGGGGGGCGCCGCTGGAAGGGGTCGGCGTGAGGCGGTGCTCCGGGCGAGCAGAGTCAGCTGGCTGACCTGAGCGGGAGGTGCGGATATTTTCGGCCTAGTTGGTCTTGGGGCTCCGCTGGCGGGAGGGAGAGGCAGGCGCAGAGAGGAAGAGGCGGGAAGGAGGGATGGGGGAGGGGCGGGGGAGGGGTGTGCCCCGCCATTCAGGACACGGCTCCAGTCGGCGTCGGGAGCGCCCGTGGGGCGGTCCCCACTCCTTTGTCCCTCAGCGCGGTGCGACCGTTCCCGTGGGCTCCTACGCCGCGTGCCGTGTCTCTCCACCGAAACGAGGGTTTTCCTGGAATGTACGTTAGTTCACGGCCTGGGAAGCAGAGTGGTTACTGCCGAACACTTAACACGGGTGCCTGTATTTTTGCATTCATTCAGCAAGCATTGAGCGCTCCCTTTGGGCCAAACCCTCCTTCAGGTGCAGAGATACAGTAAAGAACAAAACAGATAAGATCCCAGCCTCTTGGAGCTTGTATTCTAGTTGGGGAGTCAGTCAACAACAAAAAAAAACCACACGCGAGGCGGAGTGCTGTGATTGAGAATAGCAGAGTGAGGGGAGGGGCCTCTTTAAGTTGAGGATTCAGGGAAGCTGTTAGAGCAGAGACTCGGGGACGTGTTTTAGGTAGAAGGAGCAAATGCACAAAAGGGCAAGGAGAGAAGAGCCTGGCTGGGACTAGCCGCATTGTGAGTGCACAGTGAGTGAGGCCCCTGAGGTAGGCAGGGCCTTTGTAGGCCTTGGTAAGAGGTTTGGAAATTTAGTTAAATTTTGAACGTGGTAAATGACTTATGTGAGAGACTGTTGAGGGGATCAGTAAACACTGGGTTAAGAGTTGGACACTCAGGGGAGTGATAGAGGCCACTCAGGGAAGTGGCCCATAGACTCAGGAACAAATCTATCATCATTAAGATCATAAAACCATGGGAGCAGGTGAGAACGCTAGGAAGACCCTGTAGAAAAGACGCTCAGGACCAACATTTAGAAGCTAGATAGAGATGGGGAGCTTGAAAAACTCAGAAGAAAAAACTCACAGAAACCAGGAGTGTTTCAAGAAGCACTTGGAGGGGTTTCATCTGTTTCAAATGCTGCTGAAACTCTAGAGAGATGAAGCCTAAAAGTAGCCAGAAGTTGTAGGTGACTGTGACAGGATAGTTTTCATAAAGTGGCGGAGATGGTAGCCGGATCATAGAGGTTTGAAAAACGAATGGGAGGTAAGGAAGTAGATGTAGAAAGTGTCTTTGAGCTCAGTAACCATCTGAACGAGAGAAATCAGAGAAAGAGTACTCTTAAGTATTGAAGGGTGCCTCTGATCCCCATCTTGAGTTTCCCTCTTAGACAGGATCCTCCTTCAGTGCTTCCTATTTCTTAGTCTCTTGTCTCAAGGTCCATCTCCCCTCCTTCTCTGGAACTGCCCTCATTCAGATAGTAACAAGTCCTCTTGATTCATTCTCTAAATATGTCTCTTGCCTCCTTCCTTTTCTATGTTTTCTTTTTGTTTCTTTTGACCTCACCTAAGAGTTAATGTCGACCATGCTCTACAACTTGTGGGAAGCTATCAGGAGAACATGTGAAGTTCTTCTCCTTGTATTTTATTTATTCCCTTTTATCCCTTTGCACCATTTTTTTTTTTTTAAAATAATGTTTTGAGGGGGAGAGAGAGAGACATGAGCAGGCAGACAGGATGTGAAGTGGGCTCTGCACCGACAGCAGAGAGCCCCATGTGGGGCTTAAACTCAGGAACCATGGAGATCATGAGCTGTAGTCAGACATTTAACCGACTGAGCCACCCAGGCACCCCTAATTAATGTTTTTATTTTTAAGTTTATTTCTTTTGGGAGAGACAGAGTGCGAGCAGGGGAGGAGCAGAGAGAGAGGGAGAATACCAAGCAGGCTCTGTGCTGTCAGCACAAGAGCCTTACTCAGGGGTGGAACTCAAGAAACTGAGATCATGACCTGAGTCGAAATCAAGAGTGAGATGCTTAACTAACTGAGCCACACAGTTCCTCTCCCCCCGCGCCCCCCCCATGCCACTTATGTTACATGGGCAACATTTAATGCTAACTGTGTATCACTTTTTTTTTAATGTGTTCCTATAAAATATGTTACATTGTGCATTTTATTTTCATATCACCAATTCAGAACACGCTGAGATATACTTTCTTATTTCCATTTGGAGGATGAAGAAGCAAATGCTTAGAACATTTATTTGCTTAAAACTTCTCCAGCTATTGGGGTGCCTGATTGGCTCAATCTGTAGGGTATGCGACTCTTGATCTCAGAATTGTGAGTTCAAGCCTCACATTGGGCCCAGAATTTATTAAAAAAAAAAAAAATTCTCTAGCTAGTAAGTGATGGACCTGGCGTTTGAAGCCAAGCCTTTTGATTCTTTTTTTTTTTTTTTTAAATGTTTTTATTTATTTCTAGGAGAGAGAGAGACAGCATGAGCAGGGGAGGGTCAGAGAGAGAGGGAGTCACAGAATGAAACAGGCTCCAGGCTCTGAGCTGGCAGTCAGCACAGAGCCCGACGCGGGGCCCGAACCCACGAACCGCGAGATCATGACCTAAGCGAAAGTCGGACGCTTAACCGACTAAGCCACCCAGGCGCCCCCAAGCCTTTTGATTCTTAAATCAGGGAACTGTCCCCCAAAGTCTCTCAGTTCCTTCATCTCTCTCCTAGGGATCTTGTTTCTTGCACTACCAAAATAGCAGTAGCCACTCACTACCATAGTCACACCCTAGACCTTGTCATTATCAGTAGCTGCACCACTCTGTCATCTCAGTTTTAAGCACCCTACTTGTCAGTACCATTTCTATCTTGCCAACTCATTCCTTCTTGTTCCTTGACTACAACAACTCCAACCATCTTTTGACCCAGCAGATCTATATTCTTTGCTTTTCACTGTCTGTCCCTCGTGTCCTTGTTCCCCTCCTTACTTAGCTTACATGCCCTGGTCAATCAGTATAATCACTTCCTTTCATATACTTCTAACCCCTTGCCCTCTTCCAGTCTCTGTATACTTTCTTAGTAAAATCACAGCCCTAATTAATTCCAACTCTGCCTACTCTGCCCTTGCCCCTGCTCACTTGATGGTCTCAAGGGGACCCTAGAGCTGCCCAGCAGTCATGCTGTATTCTCTTGTTCATCCACTCACCTTCTCCTAGATGACTATTCCATACCTTCCTTTGTCTCCTAAATCTCCAGTACCTCCTCTCTGGCCTTCACTTTAGCTACTGAGTTTTGGTTTTTATGTGCTTCTTATTCTACTAAAAAAGTAAAAACAGTCCAAAAGGAGCACCCACAAGCGCACCATTGTACTTGCTCCCCTACCTGCATCTCTGCCTGTGTTGTCTGGCTTCCTTCTATTGCTGTGGATGGGCTTTCTGTGATGTCAGGAAGGGTAGCCCTTTTAGTTGCTTGAATGTATTGTTCAGTGACTTTTACCCTTTATTCTGCATGATCGAAGTGAACAATGCTTCCCCCACCCCTGCCCAAAGATATCTGGAACCTGTGACTAAGGTATCCTTACATGGTAAAAGGGACTTTGCTGGGGCACCTGGCTGGCTCAGTTGGAAGAGCGTGCAACTCTTGATTTTGGGGTTGTGAATTGGAGCCCCATGTGGGGTGTAGAGATTACTAAAAAAATGTATGAACTATTAAAAAATTATAATTTGAGGAGGACTTTGCAGATATGATTAAATTAGGGGTCTTGAGATGGGGAGATTTTCCTGGATTATCTGGATGGGCCCAGTGTAATCACAGTGGTCCTCATAACAAGGATGCAGGAGGGTCAGAGTCAGAGAAGACAGTGTGATGACAGAAGCAAGAGCTTGGAGTGATGCGAAGTATGTAGGCAGCCTCTAAAAGCTTAAAAAGATAGGGAAAGAGATTCTTCCCTGAAGCCTCTAGAAAGAATACAGCCCTGCTAACACTTTGATTTTAGATTTTGACTCCAGGACTGCAGGAGAATACACTTGTGTTGGTTTAAACCACTAAGTCATGGTAATTTGTTATATAGCAGCAATAGGAAACTAATACAATTTCTTTGCTTCATTCTCTCTACCAAGCTAGAGTTTTCCCATCTTAAAATTTTTTTTTAATGTTTTTTATTTATTTCTAGGAGAGAGAGAGAGACAGCGTGAGCAGGGGAGGGTCAGAGAGAGAGGGAGTGACAGACTCTGAAACAGGCTCCAGGCTCTGAGCTGGCAGTCAGCACAGAGCCCGACGCGGGGCTCGAACCCACGAACCGCGAGATCATGACCTAAGCGAAAGTCGGACGCTTAACCGACTAAGCCACCCAGGCGCCCCGAGTTTTCCCATCTTAAAATTAATTTCTCAACCTCATTAATCTCACTTCCCTTTCAACTGCTTTCCTCCCATTTTAGTCCTTCCTTTTTATAGCAGAAGTCCTTGAAAACCTTGTCTCCATTTACTGTCTCCTAATTCCTCTTCTCCTATCTCCCCTGGAATCTATGCCTGTTTGACTTTCTCCTCCCGCAGCTGCCCTAGGAAAACTGCTGTTGTCAAGGCCACCAATAACCTCTAGGTGGTTAAATCCATGGATGGAGTCTCAGCCCTTCTCTAATTTTACCTCCTATCAGACCTCATTACTTTGTTAAGGAAGCATCAGAAGGCCATCACCCCGCAAAAAACTTCAACTATAGAGGTTCTAGCTACCGAATATTCGAGTTGGAAACGATCTTGGTGGCAGATGTGCAGTGAACCCCCACCCCATGAGAGGCCCCAAGCCCCACGTTAGATATAGGAACTATTCTGTGGAAGGTTTGTTGAGCGAGTGTTTTGTTCCATCACTGTCAGCCACAATGAAAACCTTTTCTTCAGAAATCCGTGGGCACCCCCACAGTGCCTCCTCACCTTCAGAACGGGTGTTCTCGATGCCCCTGCCCCGGAAGGCCCCTCTCAATACTCCTGGCACTCCCGTCCTTGAAGACTTTCCCCAGAATGACGACGAAAAGGAGCGACTGCAGCGGAGGCGCTCCCGAGTCCTGGACCTGCAGTTCAGCGCAGACTCGCCTCATCTGCTAGCCTCCCCGTCCAGTAGGTAAGTGCATTCTGGGCTGCCTCCGTGGGGTGGCCGCCCTGACGTGGGCGATGTGGGTCTGGCATCTCCACAATACTATGTGGATTCTGGATCCAGATTTTGAAGAGTTAGCATGTCATGGATCCTTGCCAGAGTTTTTTCTTTTTGGTTTTCGTTTAGGAATATTGACGTTTCAGCCACGATTCCTAAATTTACAAACACACAGATTACAGAACATTACTCCACCTGTATCAAACTATCCACTGAAAATGTGAGTATCTGGGGTGCCTGGGTGGCTCAGTCGGTTGAGTGTCTGGCTCTTGGTTTTGGCTCAGGTCATGATCTTGCTGCTTCATGAGTTCAAACTCCATATCAGACTCAGTGTTGGCAGCGCGGGACCTGCTTGGGATTTTCCTTTTCCACCCCCCTCACTCCTCCCCCGTTTATTCTGTCTCTTTCTCAAAATAAATAAACTTAAAAAAATTATTAAAAAAAAAAAAGAAAGAAAATGTGAGTATCTGCTGGATCATCAGTGAAGATATTACAACTTGATCACAAGGGAAATCTATCCTCCTTGATTCTGTGGAGAATGCACAGTTGATGATAATTGTGTGCTTTCATTGTCCAGTAACTCTTCTTAATGCTAATGTTTTTCAGTATGCTTTTACTATTTCTTATAGGCCTTTGGCGTTCATTTTGATAGATTGCTTGCCACCTGCATTGTATCTAGAGAGGCAGCATTGCTTAGGGGGTAATAATGTGACTTCTGGAGCTAGTCTCTGTTGGAATCCAGTCCCTGACATTCACAAGCTGTATGGTATCGACCTAACCACTCTGCTGCAGTGTCCTCTGTAAAATGAGAATGTGACTAGTACCTGCCTCATAGAGTTGTTCTGAGGATGACCGAGTCCCTTTGTATACAGTGCTTGGAACAGAGTCTACATACACTGAAAACTTAGGAAGTGTGCTGTCATTCTCTAGGCCTTGAGAATGAGGAGATAATATATGGATTTAGCTCTGTCATCAAGTGTTTGTGGGAACTGATACCTGTGGTGAGATGTGGGCTGTTACTTTGTAAAAACTTAGCTTCCTCTATTAGGGTAGCATTATTTACATGGGCCTAGGCTATAAATAACGAACCTTTCTACATTTTTCTGTTTTCAGAAAATTACTACCAAGAATGCTTTTGGTTTGCACTTGATTGATTTCATGTCAGAGATTCTTAAACAGAAAGACACCGAACCGACCAACTTCAAAGTAAGAAGGATGTTCACCTTCTCTTAGATGTGAATTAATGATGATTATTTCTGATATTTAGCACAGCACTGTAGTTGAATTCTGCAAATACATGAGAACCTCCCTTGTGTAAGACATTTTATTAGCTTCTTTACTTTCTTTCCTAAACTGATGAAATAGAGAAGATATCTTTATGTTATATTTTGTTTATTCCCTGTCAGTCTTGGGTAATCTTTGTCATTTTTTTCTTCAGAGCAAGTGAATATTTTGTGAAGCTTGCTGTGTTTTGTTCAGCAGTCCCTTCTTATGCCTCCAGTGAGTTTAGCTCTACTTGTTTGACTAGGTGGCCGCCGGCACTCTGGACGCCAGCACCAAGATCTACGCTGTGCGTGTGGACGCTGTCCATGCTGACGTGTACAGAGTCCTTGGGGGGCTGGGCAAAGATGCACCGTCTGCAGAAGTAGAGAGCCACGGTGCAGGTACATGGGATGGGATCTGGATTTAGGGGCTTTCTTAAGGGCACAGCAGGTAGTTATTTGAGTAGTATATTGGGATGAAGTCCTAGGAAATCCATTATCTCATTCGATTGAAGACATGGACATTGTCAAAATTGTATATGAGGAGATCCTTAAGCCCTATAGTTGTTTTCCTTCAAAAAGGAGAAGGACTTTTTTAAAACTTTTAGCTTTTATTCAGGCAAGATTGAGTAAACATCACCAAGTGGGGAGGTTCTGATTTGGGGGACTTTAGAAATTGGCTTGTATTAGAAGCCAAATACTTAAGGTTTTTTTCCAAGGTTATGGATTTTTTTTTCTTAAATTTTTTTTAGTGTTTGCTTTTTTTTTTAATTTTTTTTTTTTCCTACGAGAGAGAGAGAGAGAGATGGCGTAAGCAGGGGAGGGTCAGAGAGAGGGAGTCACAGACTATAAAACAGGCTCCAGGCTCTGAGCTGGCAGTCAGCACAGAGCCCGATGCGGGGCTCGAACCCACGAACTGCGAGATCATGACCTAAGCGAAAGTCGGACACTTAACCCACTAAGCCACCCAGGCGCCCCAGTGTTTGTTTATTTTTGAGAGACAGAGCGTGAGCAGGGGAAGGGCAGAGAGAAAGGGAGACACAGAATCTGAAGCAGGCTCCAAGCTCTGAGCTGTCCGCACAGAGCCTGATATGGGGCTCGAACCCATGAACCGCGAGATCATGAACTGAGTCGAAGTCAGATGCGTAAGTGACTGAGCCACACAGGCGCTCCCAAAGGTACAGATTAGATGTGCCTGTTGCTTTGAGAGAATGGCACGTTTCAATTACAATCACTCTTCAGAGTTTTGAAGAACGTGAGTTAATAAGTTTGGTTACATCCTCCAAAGCAATCTTTGCAGTACTTAGTCTTCTTTCTTCTTTCAGATGGAAGTGCTACTGAGACAGGAACAACCAAAAAGGCTCAAAAGCCAAAGAAGAAGCACTCCAACAAAACCATCGAGCAGAATGTAAACAACCTCAATGTGTCTGAAGCAGATCGGAAGTGTGAGGTGAGGAACTGTGTGCAGTGTGGTCTCTGACTAATTCAGAACCTCAGTGGCTGAAACTTGGCAGGGCCAAGCCTGCCTGGTATGTGTTTGCTTAGGCCTCAAGGGAGTAAAATACATAAGTGGTATGTGCATTATCATCCCTTAGCTTTACAGTGAAGACTGACAGGTATAAGTCCCTGCTTTTCCCACAGTATTTCAGAATGATTGAGTAGAAAGAGATGGCAAATTACCAAGGACTCTGATTGATCATACCATTGATTTTCTTTCCTAGCATATGCAGCAGAGATAACAATGGCTAACGTTTATTGTGCATTTACTGGGCACTGTGCATTTATTGTACTGCCCTAAGCCTATGAGCTGTGTTACCTTACTTAATCCTCACTACATCCTTGTTACATTTTCTGCAGAGGTTATTGAGGTACAGGGCTGTTAAGTAACTTGCCCAAAATGGTACAGCTAGGAAGTAAGTTGGGATTTGAAACTAAGTGGCCTGGCTCCAGAGTCCTTGCTCTAAACAGCCTTACGATCTGGCAAATCCTACGGAATCTGCTTAAAGGAAGCCAGAGGCCTCATTTATCTTTAGCAAAGCTAATTTAAAGCAAAGGTGTTGGTATAAGCTTTTTAAAGATTTTACTGTTGAAAATAGTATCTCAGTGAACCTTCTTGTACATATTTGTGCTCTTTTGAGGGTGTATCTGTAAGAAAATTCTGAGTCCTGGAATTTCCATTGGGTTGTACCAATCTACTATCCCACCAACAGTGGACTAGATTACTTTCTCCTACCTCCATGACATTTGTGAACGGCAGTTAATGTCAAGAGACTGAACTGATCACCAGAATGACCATATGTGGAAAAAGGACTGAGCCCTGGATACCCCAATCTTAAAGAGTTCAGAGGGGCACCTGAACTCAGTCGGGTTAAGTGTCTGTCTTCGGCTCAGGTCATGATCACACGGTTCATGGGTTCAAGCCCTGCGTCGGGCTCTGTGCTGACAGCTAGCTCAGAGCCTGGAACCTGCTTCAGATTCTGTGTCTCCCTCTCTCTCTGACCCTCCTGTGCTCACGCTGCCTCTCTTTCTCTCTCTGTCTGTCTCTCTCTCTCTCAGAAATAAATAAAAAGAAAAACATTTAAAAAAAAAGAGTTCAGAGAGCCAAAGAAGAAACATCAGTAGGTAGGAGGAAAACAAGGAGAGAGCATGGGAATGAGAAAGCACCAGGGAGGAGAGAGTGATCAGCTCTGCCAAAGTGGCAACCTGGGCCCACTGGTGTTCCTGGAGAAGAAAGGGCCTATGGAGCTGAAACTTGGACCAGAGAAGGGGTGCTACTTGGCTGGTGCTAGTGTCCCTGAGTTTGGAAGAGGGGCTTGTGGGGCCAGGACCCAGACCTCTGAGGAGGGCATTCTGGTTGGTGCTGGTGTCTGTGAGGGGCACACGGTGAGGCTGGTTCTGTGAGTGTGAGTAAAAGTGCAATTGAACTCAGCTAGTGCTACAGGTGGGACCTGCTGCATCTGGGGTGAAGAGGTCCTGCTGGGTAGAAGCAACAGGAAGCCTACAGAAAGAAACAAGTCCCTTCTTCTAGCCTTGCAAGCTTCCTCTAGTGTCCCCTACTGGTGGAGCCCAACAGGGAGCTGCTGGCAAAGCCCAAATGTGGTCCTAGATCCAGCATCACAGAGCGGACAACACTAGGTAGGTTTGGGGCTGAGAGGCAATAGCTTAACTGGCAGAGAGGTAAAGTGTCACAATATCTACGTTCAGGGGCACCTGGGTGGCTTAGTCGGTTAAGCGTCTGACTTTCGCTTAGGTCATGATCTCGCGGTTCGTGGGTTCGAGCCCCGCATCGGGCTCTGTGCTGACTGCCAGCTCAGAGCCTGGAGCCTGTTTCAGTCTGTGACTCCCTCTCTCTCTGACCCTCCCCTGCTCACGCTGTCTCTCTCTCTCCTAGAAATAAATTTAAAAAAAAAAAACAATATCTACGTTCAAAAAGGTTTGGTCAGTGGGGGGGCAGGGTGACAAGGAGAGTCGTTGCTCAAGTAGGAGCGTTGCTCAAGTAGTTTTTGTTTTTTTTTTTTAATGTTTTATTTATTTTTGAGAGAGAGAGAGAGACAGCATGAGCAGGGGAGGGTCAAAGAGAGAGGAAGACACAGAATCTGAAGCAGGCCTCAGGCTCTGAGCTGTCAGTACAGAGCCTGATGTGGGGCTCGAACCCACGAACCGTGAGGTCATGACTTGAGCGGAAGTCGGACGCTTAACCAATTGAGCCACCCATGCGCTCCACAAGTAGAGTCTTTGAGCACATGAGAAGGGAAGGGAATGGACAGTGTTAACAGAGTTTGGCTAAGGAGCACCCATGGCTGGTGGGAGATGGGATGCAAGTATGCATGTGTGGGCGCATTCCAGGTATTCCCTTCTGGTTGTGTCCCTCCAGTCATCGTCCCCTCCCCCCCGCCATTGAAAATAGGAAGCCAGACCATCAACTGAGTGTGGAGGAAGAAAGGTAAAGGTTTGAGGAGAGAAAAAGGTGGGGTGGGTGAGCAAATGGACTGGGGAAGTATCGTTTGCTTGCCAGACACTCATGGCTGACTTGAAGGCTGTGGCAAACGGATTTAAAGTGAGGTCAGTCAACATGACTCTGTGTGTTTCTCTGACAGTAGTTAGCTGTCATATGGGATGCGAGCATAAAGCGGGCAGAAAGTTGGATTTAATACAGGATTGTGTCAGCTGAGTCAATGTGACACAGCTAGGAAGAAGCACTGGAGTAAAGAGCATATGTAAGGGAGTGGTTACGATCGATGCTTGTGGAACTTCGGTGGGAAAAAGAAAGACCGTGGAAAACCATATGATCAGTGGATTGTAGGGCATGGTGGGTCAAAGACTTTTTGGGGTAAGAGACAAGAAGGTGTTGGCTGGAAAGATATGAGATGGTTGTCACGGACATTTAGAGTTGAGCAATGGAGAGGCTGCAGTCATGGTTGGGATTCAATTCAGAGAATAAGAAGGGAGTGAAAGACAGGAGGTGTAGAGTTCATGCTAGGATCTCTGAAAGTCCTGGGGTTTTCAGGATGAAGTTCAAGACCATTGAAAGAGAGGATATCAAGGAACTGAGAGGCCAGAGTGCTGGATGGATCAATGTATGGATATTGAAACCACCAAAAACTATGACAGCAGTAAAGTTAGAGAATAGTAATGAGCCAGGAGCTCATATTAAGAGCTTCCAAGAATTGGGTAGATCTAGGGATTGGAAGGCGATTGAAAAACATATGGGCAGAGGGTGGTAAGGTCTGATCTTACTATGTTCAAAGCTGAGGGTTTTAGGACTTGGGAAGGAGAGTAGTCTAGAAGCAGTGATGACGAACAAGGAATTTCACCTATCCCACATCGAGGCCAGCGGTCGGTCAGAAGGCTGTGGAAGAGGAAGCAGCCACACTGGTGAGGCCTGCAGGGAAGCAGTGTCCTTGGGCAGATAGCGGATTTCAGTAGAGCAGTGCTCCTCAGCCTCTGTCATTCTCTTCCTCCTCCAGAACCTTTTTAGATATTGTCTTCCTACCCCCTGACCTTGAAATGAATTATAAAGGAACAAGATTTTGTTAGGTAGTATTGAGGCTTAGAGAACCATAAGTTATTTTAATTCCTGAGATTTTTTTTTTCACCTTCCCCCAGAACCAGTTTTCACTTCCTTGAGAATGATATCACCCTTACCGAAAATGAATGAGTTAGAGTTGGTAGGTGGGGAGAACCTTCAGGAAAGAAGCAGGGGAATATAGGGAATTTTGGAGATAACTGATCGAGTCTAGAGGGCCCTGGGGGAAGATATCAAATTAACAGAGGGAGATGGGGTCCAAAGAAGGGGATGTCAGAGCTGTATGGGTTTTAGAGCCTGGGAAATGTAGAACCTTGAAGGGTCCTGGGTCTTTTATATGTGACTAATAAATAAACTAAATAAAAGGTAATAATGAAATTAGACCTGCTGGCCTCATGGCAGATGGTGGTGGTAGAGGCTGAGCATGTGAGGGGCTAGGAGAAAGGAGCCTTGCCAGTCTTACTTTGAGTGATGAGGCACTTCTCTGGACTTGTCTGGAGGCTCTAGCCTGTGTTAGTGTGAGGACTCTGTGTGAATGAGCATGAAGGGGCCCGAGGAAGATGGATCCACTGAGGCCGCGGCCAAAGGAGGAGGGCGAAAGCTTGGGCAGCAGGCGCTTTTGGGAGAGAGTGAGTTTTATTTATCGATGTTTCAGCATTGACCTTGGGTAGTACCAGATTTCTATAGGCAGGTGATGTAAAGTTCAGATTCTAGTTCCACTATCTTAGTTGTGTGGCTTGGGAAAAAGCTCTGAATCTCACTTTGTTAAATTGTAAGAGCAGGTGGCATTAGTCCCATCCACATGTGTTTTGTGGTAGTGAATCTTTTCCTAGCAAATTGCTTTTTGTCCATAGTAGTATGTTGCATACACCTGAAGCGGAGCCATAACCTTCCTTTCCCCTCCCCAGTTCTCCGTGTTTTCCCCCCTTTCTTAGATCCGACTTCAGCTCTAACCAAAAATTCTGTTTCCAATCATCTTTATTCTGACCAGGTAGACCCAGTTCGGGGAGCCTGAGGAGACGTGCACTAACTAGCCTTTCTCATTGTTCTAAAGAGAAAATGAGAACAAGCAGTGCTGCTCCCTCTAAGCCTATAAAATCATCTAGGCCAAGCGAAATCATTCATCTTTTTTTTCTTTCTTTTTTTTTAAGTTTATTTATTTTGAGGCGGGGGACAGACAGAGGAAACAGAAAGAGGCTGTGAAGCTGGTTCTGTGTTGAGAGCAGAGAGCCCAATGCAGAGCTTGAACTCATGAACTGTGAGATCATGGGAGTTGGACGTCTAACTGACTGAGCCACCCAGGCGCCCCATCATTAGTCTTGAAGAAACACCAAGTACCGCATCCTAGAAAGCTTTTTTTGCTCTGTAATCTGCTGTAATGGCCCAAAGCCCAATTTGGATGATAAACAAGAGGGAGGGATTGTCACAAACCTAAAATTTGAAGTTTGAACTGTTTCTTGAACCCACATTCTCTTGTAGATGGCATGGAGATGAGAAAGCAAATGGTCTGTGGGTGTGTCTAGACCAGTTGAGAACTCTTATTTGTGTATGAGCTGATCTGTTTTGGACACAGCTCTGTAGGCAAAATGTTTGCTGTCATGAGAGATTCCAACCTGATTATGCTCCAGTTCTTTATACCAGGAGAGCACAAATAGATACAATGAAAGGAAGTTCAAGGCACCTACTATAGGAAATCAGAGTGGGTGGAGGTCAGAATTGATGGAAGCGGTGAAATTTGAAACTGTGCCTTAAAGGAAAGGTAGGTATTTGCCAGATGGATATTGCCAGGAAGGTGATGCTAGGCAGCTAGGCAGCTGGATAGTGTACAAGTTTGTCTAGAGCCTAGTATTTACTCACACGCCTGAAGCCACCTAGACTTTACCATGCAGGGTGTTGTCGACCAAAGTTTCCTTTTACTCCCTCTTTTCCTTGCTGTCGACTGTTGTTTCAAAAGGTTCATCTACCCAGGGTACCAGGCTGGCCCAGTCTTTAGAGCATGTGACACTTGATCTTGGGGCTGTAAATTCAAGCCCCATGCTGGATGTAGGGATTACTTTAAAAATAAATAAATAAATAAAAGACAAAAGCTTTATCTACCCAAACTGTGCAGTTAGCAATAATTCATTTTCCCATCAAATTACTCAGATGTCAATCAGATCTAATTTATATGAAAGGACCATTGTTCTTAGTGTTTTCAGTTTTAGTGTTTACAGTTTCTGCATTGACTCTTTGAAAGTCTAAGTTTTGTTAACTACCCACACACAGGACCTTAAAAGATGTGGGGCTCCAGGTGGGAAGCCAATGGTCTGGTTAGCATTTTAGGAAGGAAATGGGAGTAACAACACTAGTATTTTGGAATGGGAAATGAGAAAGACCAGAGACAAGGGTTAACTTAGGCGTGGGTTGTATTGGTGGCAGTGGGGCGAAGAAGGAAGGGATAGATGGAAGAGCTGTGCGGGGAGGAAACCCCGCCAGGCTGTGTGACTGACTAGGTGAGCGGTAGGGAGACAGGGAGAACGTGGACTTGATATATGTGATACTTGGGCTAGGAGGATGGTGAGATGGCTTTATTGGGAAGGCGAGAGGAGAATCTTGGTTCTGGTGAGGCCAGGCTAAAGGGACAGAGAGCTATATCTGTCATTGTATCTGAGGCCTCTTCTCTCCATAGTAGCTACGTCCTGAGACATAAAGAAAACCTGGGAATCCGGTTCCCAGCCTGTTTCCTGTTTCAGGGCCACCTGTACAATCAGGTAGCTTCTGCCTTCTTGCCACACCTGCATGTGCCTTGCTCTGTCCTTGTTCTCGTGCTCTGTGCCCTGTTCTGCCTTTGGGATTTGTGTCACGTGGACATGCCACTCCTACTCTGTATCCCAGTCTTGGGAGCCTTCTGACAGCCTATTCCATGTTTTACCCATCCATCTAGTCCTGCTGACTCTGCCTGTCTTTCCCCTTGATCTCATGGTGTGTTCCTCTACATCTGTGAAAATATTTCTGTTCAGAGAAATAATGGGATCTTGTGAACAGATCCCTCATACAGGCTTTCTAAGTCCACAGAATTTGTCATGATAGCATTCTATTAGAGGTAGTTATTTGAAAACAGTGACTTGTGGAAAGAGACCAGCAGAAGGATACTGTCTCTGTAGATTGTAAACAGATTGACACGGTAGAAGCTTGTTCCTATTTATGGTGTACTTGCATTTATTCATCTGACCACACACAGGCTTCCTTTTCAATTGGTGTCTGCTAGGATAAGATTTTACTGATCAATTAAAAAGCCTTCCACCTGTTTCGATCGTGTGCAGAGATATTTCAATCCATATGCCGCTGTGTATGAACAGGGTTCAATGAATGAGATTGTATATTTGCTTTGGCTGCATTCCATAATTCTTTGGTTCCCTCTGTTTGTACGCTCAGATCGATCCCATGTTTCAGAAGACAGCAGCCTCCTTTGATGAGTGCAGCACAGCAGGGGTATTTCTCTCAACCCTCCACTGCCATGACTACAGAAGTGAGCTGCTGTTTCCTTCCGATGTCCATACTCTCTCCACTGAAGAACCCCTGGTGTTGCCAGATTTAGGCTGGGTAGAAATGACAGATTTAAAAGGTGAGTACACATAGTGCATCTCACCAGAGCATTTCAGTCATCAGAAAATTTTCCGTACAACCATGGAGTGTAATGAACCCATCATTATGTTGCTTGGTTAAATTACCCAGAAGGTGCTTCTGGAACGCCAAATCGGGCATCCTCGTGGGAGAAACTAACTTCTCTTCCTCTCTGCAGCATGGAGTCTAATAGTAGTAGGTGATGCCCACCGTGGCTCTTGGTCTATATGTGCTACATCTGTCACGTGCCCCTCTTAGCCGCCAGCTTGCACAATCATCTACTGGAGCCCTGGGCTAAGCGTGGACTGTCACAGTTTGGACTTGGAAAAGGAGCTTTAAAAAGCTTTTGTTGAGCCAGAGAGGCCTTGTTCTTATTTGTTACCAATCTAGGGGGTCTTGAGGAGAAAAGGGCGTTGTGAATTATTTTCAGACTCCACTGCGGTGGTCTGAGAATGGACCTGCCCTTCTGTTAGCTCCTTATACTGGCGTTGGTGTGGCAAGGGTTTTACTACCCCTCCCCTCCTACCCTCCACACCCCTCTGGGGGAAACATCTGAAAATGTTGTGACAGACATGGGTGGGAAGCCAGGCGCAGGAATGCAGTAGCTACACTTGTGTGCAGTCATTTTTCTGTGCTGCGTGAAATTGATCCTCCCCCTCAGGGCTATACAAATGTTACAGTGCCCATTTTCATCCTTTCTATTCTTGTCTAAAGTTTTCTTTTTTTCTTTTCTTTTTAGAGAGTGAGTACACATGTGCACGTGCCTGTGCAGGGGAGGGGCAGAGGGAGAGAGAAACTTAAGCAGGCTACATGCCCATCACAGAGCCTGATGTAGGGCTTGATCTCATGAACTTTGAGATCATGACCTGAGCTGAAATCAAGTCAGGCGCTTAAGCAACTGAGCCACCCAGGCGCCCCTATTCTAAGTACAACTATTTTGTGCTAATCTATTTCCAAGTTGATGCTGTCAACTGGGACTTTAATCACATGAAGTAGCTAGTTTCTTTTTTTTTTTTTTTAATATTTTTTATTTATTTCTAGGAGAGAGAGAGAGAGAGAGACAGCGTGAGCAGGGGAGGGTCAGAGAGAGAGGGAGATACAGACTCTGAAACAGGCTCCAGGCTCTGAGCTGGCAGTCAGCACAGAGCCTGACGCGGGGCTCGAACCCACGAACCGCGAGATCATGACCTAAGCGAAAGTTGGACGCTTAACCGACTAAGCCACCCAGGCGCCCCTGAAGTAGCTAGTTTCATTTGGGACTAAAATAAGTAGCATTTGCATGATTGGTTGTGTAGTTAGTACACTTTTTTTGGTAATGTTTATTTTTTTTTTTGAGAGAGAGGGTGAAAGCAAGCACAAGCAGGGGAGGGGCAGAGCGAGAAGACAGAGGATCCGAAGTGGAGTCTGTGCTGACACCAGAGAGCCCAATGTAGGGATCAAACTCCTGAGCTGCAAGATCATGGCCTGAGCCGAAGTTGGACACTCAACCGACTGAGCCACCCAGGCGCCCCCAGTTAGTACACTTTTCAGGAAGGGTTTTTGATTTCCCAGCTGTAGCATAGGGCACAGAGTCCATTTCAGAGTCAAATGTCTGTGCTTCAGGTTTCTGCCCTAATGTTTCAGTAATTCTTGGAATGCCAAGTTTGGGAGCCTGCCTCCAGTGTGGGTGTGTCTTTGGAGCAGAAGTCTGTGGCCTGGAGCTTGGCCTCCAGCCAGCCTCTGCCACAGAACAAGGGGCAACTGAGCCTCCCTTCTCCATCGTGCTGCTCTGGTAGTTCTGAGCAGGGAGGAGTGTGCTCCATTCACATTCTTTGCCATCGTCCTCTTTGCCATCTTCTGTCCTCTCCAGCACCCTTGCAGCAGTGTGTGGAAGATAGCCAGATCTGCCCTTCCCTGGCCGGGTTCCAGTTCACTAAATGGGACAGCGAGGCACACAATGAGGTGAGTTCAACTTTTAGGCTTCTAAGGGCTCTGGCATTTGTCCAATTGCTCGTGGTTTCAATGAGATGGTCCAAGACAAGTCCTGCCCAGTGAGAACCAAAACTGTGGCATCGTTTTTATTTGGCCAGGAGTACAGAAAATATTTCCCTTGGCACTTCTATATGGACTAAAACCTGGGGGATGGGAATGGAGGATAAGACAGCCCTGTCATTCCTGTATGTACATTTCTTTAAATCAGTTTTACCCTTGAACATGGTTAATTCCAGCCCTCTGGTCTCAGGCTGCTGTCAGGCTCAAGGAATTTCCTGCTCTTCAGGGTTGAGTCCCTTGGCACAGAGTTTCCTGAGAAATTGTCATGTGTAAAGCTTTCCTCCGTATATTTTTAGTATGCCCCCCTTTAACCTACATACTACCGCTTCCAGAATAAATGGTCTCCATGGAAAACTGTTTTCTCTAAACATTTAGTTAATGGATACAGATTCCTGTTTCATGTTTTACAAAACGTGCCTAATGACAATACAGCTTCATCCTGTGCTGCACAACATAAGCTTCCTCAGCGCTTTACTATCGTGAGAATGTTGGCTCTGGGGAGGTGGGAGGAGAGGCTAGAAACTCAAATTTTGGGGGTGAGAAAAGAGGCTGTTCCTCCAGCGGTGGCTGGGGTGGCCATGGGAATGGGGAGCACTGTAGAACCCTCTCTTTGTCCTCTCCAGTCCGTGTCTGCCCTGGTAGACAAGTTCAAGAAAAACGAACAGGTGTTTGACATCAACGCTGAGGTAGAGGAGAGTGACTGCAGGGACTTTCCTGATGGGCCCATGGAGGACGACTTTGATGCAAACGATGAGCCTGAGCACAGCGCGGCCGGGGACAACGCTGAGTTCAGCAGCTGGAAGGAGCCCTGCCACACTCGCAGCTGCCCGTAAGGCTGTTGGGGCCACAGAAGATGTTCCCACCGGGTTTTCCATCCGTTCTTTTCCTGGCGGGACAGTAGGGACACTGTAGGAGTTTGTGAAGATAGAACTAAAATATGTAAAGTGCTGGAAAAAAGTACCCAGGATACAGGAGCTACTGCAGTGGAGGCTGTTATGTGTGTTGGTAGCATGGAGTGTGCTTTCTTTCTACACATGATGCAAGTCTGGCTTTTGGCTACGTCACCGCATATCAGTTATAGACACAAACAGGCTTATGTGTTGCTTACAGAAACAGTGGCCCTTGCCTGAAGGGTCAAGCAAAGAAGGGGGGCTGGGCAGTGTTCGGTTACCAGATAGGCAGACCAGGGACAAGCAAAGTGGGGGAAACTAAACAAACAAATAAAACTGAGCATATTGGGTAGAGGAATTAGCCCGTAGTAATTTAAATTTTTTATTACCCTAGTAGGCATAGGAGAAAATCAGAGCTTTGTTGGCCTTTATTATATGTACTGAAGAGATTAGTATTGTTTTAATTTTGAATGTGGTTTGGAAGCATAATAATCATGTACCGAGGTCCTCTGAAGGTTGTGAATAAACCTGAGTGTGGGAGATTCCATAAGTCTACAACGAACAGTCCCTGGGCCTACAACAGTTCTGTGTGCCTGTGACTAGGGACAGCCATGCTGGTTTACTGTGGAGTAAAACCTTAGAAGTTGTCCCGTATAGTTTGTCTGCTTATGTGGGAAATGATTAGATTGATAATATCTCTTCAATCTGAGTAGAAATTGAAGGGCTGACCATTTGGCACCTCAAGGCAAAACTACCATCTAGGCCCTTTGGCACCATCTTTTCCACTTTTGATTTGTACTATTAGTATACTTGGCAATCTTGTCCCTGTTCCCATCCTGTCTTCTGCAAAGTGAGAAATGGTAGGCAGGTTGGTGGGATTAGCTCTTTTAATATCATTTTCAAATGTCAGAGAACAACTGTTACTTTTCCTGGCATCTGAGGAATTGATGGTAACAAAGGGCTTTGGTTACTTCCATTTTGTTATTTTGAATAAATGTCTCCATTTCTCTCCATTTTCAAACAGAACGAAATCATAGAATCCATCCTACTGAGTGCATTGGGAGCAGCGGGCTTAGGTTCTAACCTAAGGTTTTGTCCATCTTGAAATCCCTATCCTTGGCATGGTGCTGTTCTTTCCCAAGAGCTCAGTCAATATTTAAACCACACAAACTTGACTCTGTCGTTGACAGCTGTGAGATGTGGGGCAGAGGCAAGTGGCATGACCTTTCGGGGTCTTTGTTTTCTCATCCATAAAATGAACGGCTTGGACTAGATAAAAATAACGTCTGAGCTCATTGAGCACTTTATTATTCTGGCTTTGTGCCGGACACCATGCCAGGTGCCTTACCTGCATTAACTCATAATTTACGTAATACAGAAAATGTAATTTCTTAAGCCTTACGACAACCTTATTAAGTCCTGTTATCCCTGTTTCACAGATAAGGGAATAGGCTCAGAGAAGTTAAATAATGGGATGAAGCTGGGTATCACTCGGCACCTTTGACCAATTCTGGCTGCATGTAATGAACTTTGGATAGTAGGCTCTACCCCAGAGCATTTCACTGAGAGTCCCTGAGGCCAGGCTCTTCATCACATTTCCCAAACTTTCCTGGGTGATTGTACTGTGCACTCAGGATTACAAACACTGTACTGGACTAAAAGGTCTTTAAGGGCTTCTCTAGCTCAAGGTGGGTTATGGCAGTGCTGAATTACCGTTTCCAGTGTTCTGTAGGACGCCCCATGTTCTTGTTCTCCCTCTTCCTGCAGCAGTGGGCCACCTGTGCTCTAGCCAGTCTCTCTGTGGTGCAGGCACTTGCTATGGTTAAAGACCTAGGCTGTGGTCCAGGCCTACACCACAGCCTCCTCCGTGCATGTAAGAATGAAGCCTTTTGCTAAGTGCTGGGTGATGTGCTAGAAGCCATCTGGGAGGAGACCTTAAACCTGCAGGTATTAGTGTGATGTGCTGAACTGGTGCTGAGTTGAAGGAGGAGCCCTGTAGTTGGGGGGCAGGTAAAAGAAATAGTTCCCCCAGAGGGGATTAGAGAAGTTTGATGGTGGGGCAGGCCTTGAAAACTGGACAGACTATGAAGTAGATTAGCTGTTGAGTCAGGGATTTGGGCACCCGTAGGGTGCCTGCCACATAGTATTGTGTATTGTAAGGCAAAACGGCTAGAGTTCAAGCCTCAAGGGCCTTAGCTCTGCCCTGGCCCACAGATTCTCAGGGATTGGGAGCCAAGCTCTTTATAACTTTGCCTATAAGTTCCCAATAAATTCTGAGCCCGATTGCCAAAACAACAGTGTCCTTGAGAATTGAGCAGAGATTCTACTGAAGGCATAATCTTTCTCCCGCTGGAGTGCACACTATAGTACAGTTGTTACTCAGTAACATATGGGCATTCTACAGACTGGAAATGTGAATTTTTTTTAGCATATTCTAAGTTTTAAAATTAAGTTTTAATTGCACAACAATTATACAAATACAGTTTCCTAGTTTTTAAATAAAGATTCTGTAGATAAAGGTAAAGTCCCCTTTTAAAGCTTTTTAACCTTATTCCATAAGGTTTGATGTGAAAAGGATTTGTGTATATAGATGTCTCAGAATAGATGAAAAGCCCCTCAGTGTTTCAAGTTTCCTTGTTACCTTTACCTTTAGAGGGCAGTATAGCAGCACTAACACACTTTCTGATGTGTTGGAGGCCTTTAGGGGAAAGCTACCTCGCTCTTACTAGTACCTTGTAGAAAGGTTGAAAAACCAACCTAAAACTGCCGTGCTGGACGGGCCAGTTAGACTTCACACGCAACAAAGAATAAAGCTAAGATGGCTTAATAGATTATAAGTGCCCCCCCCATCACTTGGGGGACAAATTAGAATAACATCTGTTTCACTTTTAGTAGACATTACACCAGTGTTATTGGAGCCTTCACTTATGGAAGGATGGTGAAGAAAGAATGAGAGAGAGATTATCATCTTGTGTGGCAGGAAGCCTTCCATATGAAAAGATCTTGAAGCTGATTCAGAGAACTGTGTCCAACTCCCAGCTCTGGCATTTTACTAACTGTGCGGTCATATATAAAAACTTACTTTCTCTCTGCCACTGTTTTCTTGTCTCTCAAATGGGTAAACTTGCACTTTATGAAGCACTTTAAAACCTCCTTGTAGCTATGGTCATATTGTTATAAAATTAAGAGAAGCAAAAGCTCTTTGACAAAGTAAAAACTAAGGGATTTTTAACGATGAAGTATTTACATTGAACTAACTCTTAGAAATCCTGTCCATCTGTGAAAAGTGGGTAGGTAGTCTTCAACTGCATCACATGCTGCTTTGCATGTAAATGCATGATTGTGTTCTATATATTGACATGTACATGGTTGTACACTTAAAACATGATTTCATGTGTGTTACAGGGAAGAAATGATTCCCCTTGGGGATGGAGACATTAGGACCATGTGCCCCCTTCTGTCCATGAAACCTGGAGAATATTCCTATTTTAGTCCCCGTACCATGTCGATGTGGGCTGGCCCAGACCACTGGCGCTTTAGACCCCGACTCAAACGTATGTACTTCTAGATGGAACTTTAAGACATAGTGTCAATGACCATCCAGTGGTCATATGTGGGAATGACCATGGGCTTATAAGGCAAGACTCTAGAACTCTGAAGGGCCTTGCCAGCATTATATGTTTGCATTCTATCTTTGAATGGAAGGGATTAATTAGCATATTTTTTATTGTGTTTTGTTAGCAAGACGACAAGCTTTCACAAGCTGATGAAATAGGTGTATATGGTTTGCCTTTCCTAATGCCGTTATGATGTTCAGATAAAAATGCTATTTGTACTTGATAAGGATCTTGCAAAATGGGTAAATATTGTCCACAGAGGTGAATGGTATTGACATCTGTGTTCATTTCTGCAGATGATGCTTCCTCCAAATCAGAGAACAAAAAGAAGAATACAAAGAAAGATTTTGAAATTGACTTTGATGATGATATTGACTTTGATGTGTATTTTCGAAAAACAAAGGTTTGTGCTAGATTTATTAGCATATGTGCTTTCTTAAATTACTCTTTTCACTCTTCTTTCTTTTCAGATGTGATTTTATTTATTTATTTTTAGAGAGAGAGCGAGAGAGCATGAGTGCATGTGAGCAAGTGAAAGGCAGAGAGAGGGAGAGAGAGAATCCCAAGCAGGCTCTGTGCTGTCAGCATGCTCAGACTCACAAACTGAGAGATCCTGACTTGAGCCAAAACCAAGAGTTGGACGCTTAACCAACAGCCACCCAGATGTCCCACAGATGTGATTTTTTAAAAAATTCATTACAGATATAAGTTTTAGAGTAAATGGATGGTTTCATTCTCCCTCAGTCTCTAGATGGATTGAGAAATAACCCCAAACTCAGTGGCAGGTAGAATCAGGTTTAGAATATGAGTAATGTCTAGCAAAATCACTCTTTCACACGCAATTGGGAACTCTGACAGTAAGTGCTGCCCAAATTCTTCCCAAGCTCCTTTATATATATATATAAATATATATATATATGTTTGAACATTCTTATTAAAGATGCCTAAAAACCTTTTTCTTTTTTTTTTTTTAATAGGCTGCTACTATTCTGACCAAATCCACTTTGGAGAACCAGAATTGGAGAGCTACCACTCTGCCTATGGATTTCCTCTATGAGACTGATAATCTTGTCCGGCTGCATCTCAAACCAGGCACCAGGGTAAGACCAGGATAAGACTGTTCCTTGGTTTCTTCAGGCTACTGCTGATGTCTAACCTGTTGATAGCATCGGAGGTATCGAATGGTAGATAGTGTGACTGTCAGACAGTGCCTTTAAGGAAAAGGAGAGCCCAGGGCAGTTACTGGGAGATGCAGTGGGTATAGCAAGGCTAAAGGGAAATCTTATGGGATAGATACACATGAAAGATTTGAAATACTTCAGTTGGTTAGACCCCTGGAAGGGCACTGAGGCCTACATGCTGAAATGCTAGGGAGATGAACAATCTTTTGTTGAGGTGCTTACAAGATGTTAGTTATTGCTTGATTTCTCTACTTTCTCATTGAGGTGGTGGATTCACTAGCCAGAGGCTGTCCCCAGCCCACGTTGCCTTCCTCACGGTCCGGGTGTAGACACGAGCCCCACTGTGACATGTGGGGTGATGTAGGAGGCAGAGTCTGACTGTGCAGTCCTCAGGGAGTTCTCTAGTGCTGCGCAACCTTCCTGGCTCCTCTGTTAACCACTTGGTGCTATACTGGTCACTGTTCGCTTCATCTTCCTGTGGCTCTCCTGGTGATGCTGGTAGCAAGTGCATGTCACTGTTGCCAGGTGACTAGTCAGCGGTTCAGGCTAAGTTCCGTTTTATCTAGACCTCTGTTCGTTTGCATTCCTGGTGCTTCTAGTCTCGTGATGTCATATACACACACTGTCTTCAGCTTCCTCTTCCTTATTTTGCCTGTTTCTGTACAAGGCCGTAATGATATGTGTACAGTTCCCCCAAATCACTGATATCTCATGTTGTGTTTTAAACCAACACTAATATATTTTTCTTTTTAATCAATACTGTTTACTTAACAGAAATATTCTTAAAATTGCAGAAAGAGGTACAAAATTGCAGTATGAGGAGCTGTGGCTATGGTCAGTGTTGGTTAGATGCTAGACCCCTCTTGCTCTGATCATAAAATGGAGCCCTGTGGCACAAGAGCAGGATGGTAGGACCCTTCTCAAAACCTTGCCCAGCGTGGAGCTGTTCTCTGTAGCCACAAGCCACCTCTTGTCCTCTCAAGCCCTTATTGTGAGCATTTGAAGATTGTGGCCTTAGGTGAGAATTTGCATATTCAGATGTTAAGGTGGTAGAACAAAGTCACTGGGACATTGCATTCCAGGGGGTGTTTTTTTGTTTTGTTTTGTTCTTTTAATAATCTTCTCTTGTAGAAGAAAGAACTTTTGTTTCTGATTGTCCACAGCAACAAATTCACTGTGTGTGAATAGTAGGGCAGCCAGGCAGCAGGAGCTGGAGATCCCTGTCCTTCCCAGCAGAGCTATCCTGGGGAAATGACTGTTAAACTCTGGAAACCCTGGAAATTAGATGCTGGATTAATAAGCACTATTTGGTTAGAGACTATACACATCAACCACCCATCCAGTTTAATATCTTGTAAGGGGATTCTAATAGCAGCCGCTCTCGTGTACCCTTCCTGAAATATTTCTTGTAGACTATGGACAATTTAGAGTGTGCCTCCAGAAGAGTATCCTAAATGGAGAGGGATTTAGAAACAGTGTCATAGGAGGAACAGTGGAAGAAAGTAGACAATAAATACCTATTGTTGAATATTATTTTTGGATTTGTATTCCAAAAACATGGTGAAGGGTTTTTTGGCTGCTTTTGGAGCATAGAGTTGTACTAAAATATTCAGTATGCTTTGTAAACTACATACCTCGGCAAAAATCACTGGTCTAACAATCAACAAATAGCTGAAGGGCTGTGGTCACAGGCATTCCCAAAAGAGGAGGCAGACTTGTTCTCTGAGGCTCTGGAAGGCAGAACAAGGACCCTGTGGTAACAACAGGGAAAAGAGCTGGATGTTTCTTCTTATAACTATGATTGTCCCAGAAATGAGACAGGCTGCCTGTGAATTAAATTTGTGAATGGGTTTCCTCAGAATTGCTCAAGTGGCAACAAGTTGGCTTCTTTTCAGATACCTTTAGGCAGTTTTGTTTTTAATGAAGAACCTTTTCCAATAAAGTTGTGAGCAGACCTAATTGCACACCCACTGCTCTGGTTTATTCGGGTTGGATGGAGTCTCCAAGCCCTGCTACCCCAGGGCTTGATCGAGAACAGAGCTGTGCGGTTGATGTTGTCAGGTTTAGATGACTTTTCAGGGCCCTTAGAACTCCCAAAAATCTATAATTCTAGGAGATTGATCATAAGAACTAAGGTTATTGTCCAACCTAGTTTAGAGCTGCTTTCCTAGAAATTGCTTTCTGCTCTTATTCTTTCCTTCATTCTAGTTACTTAAAATGGCCCAAGGCCAGAGGGCAGGAACTGAACATTATGAAGAAATTGGAGACTATGATTACAACAACCCTAACGACACTTCCAACTTTTGCCCTGGATTACAGGTAAAGGAGAGAAGAGCTCTGTCCTTTCTTCTAAGCAGAAGAGCCTTCCTTGTTTCCCATCTCCCTTCTTTCCTATATGGCGGAAGGCTATAGGAAATTCTAAATCAGGTGGGGAGTTTCTGGCTGCCTGCCCTGCCCTAGGCATCAGGGAACAGAGCAAAGCTGAGGAAACAGCCAAAACCTTGGCCTGCTTTGCCTCAAGCCCTGTATGTGGAAAGCAGGTGGTCATACTCCAAAAAATGGATCAGTGTCTTTAGCCTGTGCAAAGTACTTATCTTGGCTATTTTGGGATTTCAAAGGAAAATACTCTTCCTGTTCTGAGGAGCTAATATTTTGGCTAGGGAGACAGAGCACACAGACATGTGAAGATGGTGTGGTCTGACAGGTAAAAAGTCTGTCAGGGTAGATTCAGGAGACCAGGCCTATAGCACTGATTTTGGTTCTTATGTTGAGAATTTATACAAGCCACTCCCCATCTTTAGATCTAGTTTTAAACTAAATAATCTCAGTATTCCTTTTGTGAGTCTACTAATGAGATAGCAAATGTAAATAAGAGAAAGGGAGAAATATTGGGCCTCATCTGTGTCCCTGTGGGGAGAGGGACAAGAACTGCAGAATAATTTGTTCACCTTAATACCTTATGTGGAGGAGAATTGAGTTGTTACATTTTAGTGAAAATCCTGACTGACCTCTTGATGAGTGCTTCTTAAGGTTTCCAAGTGCATAAGAATCACCCTAAAAAAGAATCACTGCTAAAGAAACAAGTCCTGGGCCCCAGCCCAGAGATCTGATCCATTCCTGCTGGCCTTGGTCCAAGAATGGATTTTTCATGGCTCCCAGGCAGGAATCCTGCTGCTGGCTGGAGACCCTTGGCATCTCTTACGCTCACATTGGGTGAGGGATGTGGGTCAGATCTCCAGTGTTTCAAAAATGCTTTCTATAAATTGAAATCTTCAGTTGGCTAGAAGCCAAAGGGGACACTGGCAGTTGTGATTATTGAATTCCTTGTAACTTCCTCTAGAGGTCTTAGTTAACAGATACCTTCCTCGGAAGGTTTATGTGCAACAGGAAGATAAGTAGAGGTGCCTAGAAGTCCATCCTAGGCTTGACTCACAATGAACTCTCAGGTGCTGTCCTCTTGATGTATAAATACAGTGTTTTTCAAGGATACTTCTAAGCCTTTCAGACAGCTTTTGCCAAACTTGAAGAACTATATCCTTGCCCAGGCTGCTGACAGTGATTATGAAGAGTCGGATGATTTATTTGTGGGACCAGTTGGGACCTTTGACCTTACCTCTTGCCATCCACCTAAAACAACACAAGAGAATGATGATGTGCCTGAAGTCCAAGGATTGGACATCACCACTTATGGGGAGTCGAATCTGGTAGCTGAACCTCAAAAGGTAGAAGTGAAAGCCAAGAATTATGTTACATGGTTTGCCTGAGGTCTATTTAATTTGCCTCCTGTATGAAAGTCATATTGGTCTGGGCTTGATTTTTTTTTTCCCCCTTGATTTTAAGTTGTTGCTCTTCAAGTGGCTAAATCTTAAGTAGGGCCATGTTGGGAATGAGCTGATGCTAATTAAGTTTGTGTGGAAATAGCCATCTCTCCAGAGATTGTGATAAACCATATAACTAGGGGCAAAGTGGTAAAGTATGTGAATGAAGGCTGCAGGCAGGGAAAATCGGTTTCTGTGCTGATTGGGTGAGGCTAGCTATTTGTCTCTGAAAATCTTGGCCAGATTCAATTTGTATTAAATTATCATCCATTTAGCATCTGTCCCATACCAGGTGACAGGTTTGGTGATTCCATATATATTTGATTGACCTATGACTTTTACACTAGAATTTCAGGCTTGTCTTAATGTAAATTGTACTTGATCAACAAGAAATTAGATTGAAGTAAGGGACTCTGTTTTGGTATATCCAGAGGAAGTTCTATAACTCCTTGGATTGAACTAAACTAGATTCTTTACTTGAACTCCAGACTTTTGATTTTAGTATATGTGCTGCCGAAGCGAGCACAAGACTTTTGATTTTATAGTGAGTTGATGGTAAATGTTTTCTTTTACTTAGTTTTACTTCATTACATACCTATTGCAGGTAAATAAAATTGAAATTCATTATGCAAAGACTGCCAAAAGGATGGACATGAAGAAGTTGAAGCAAAGCATGTGGAGTTTGCTGACGGAGTTCTCCAAGCATGCAGACACAGAGGTAACATGTTCTGCTTACTCTCCAGGTGCACAGCATGTGGGAGGGGAATGGCTCATGGTTAAGACTCTAAGATCAAAGGCACAAATGGAGAAAGCAATCATTCAGAAATAACAAAGAAGACTTCACATCTCTGAAAGAGAAATGAACCAAGTATAGAACATGCAAGTCACAGAAAAGGTGATACAGACGGTAAACTAGTGCATGGGACATTATTCAGCCTTGCTGATAATCAATAAATACAGAAGAAAGCATTTTAGGGTCCTTTAAAATAACTCTTTAGCAGTTCAACAGTTTTTTCAGTACAGAGTTCAAGAAAAGTTTGGAGTACTTAATTCACTGCTGGTGCAATTTACGTTGATAAATGACCCTTTTGGAAAGCAAATTCTAACATCTCAGATACCATATAATGCTTAAGCTCTTTGATTTAATACTTCTTGGTTTGGGAAATATGATCTAAGTAGAAAAATAGTAAACAGGGGCGCCTGGGTGGCTTAGTCGTTTGGGCGTCCGACTTCGGCTCAGGTCATGATTTCACGGTTCCTGGGTTTGAGCCCCGCGTCGGGCTCTGTGCTGACAGCCAGCTCAGAGCCTGGAGCCTGCTTCTGATTCTGTGTCTTCCTCTCTCTCTGACCCTCCCCTGCTCACACTGTCTCTCTCTCTCAGAAATAAATAAAACATTAAAAAAAAGAAAAAGAAAAATAGTAAACAATTTTATCAAACTGTCTCTTTCTGCTTCAGAACAAGGGGAGACCTTGACTCTTTCCAACTAAATGGAACTCTCAGTTAACCAGAATCCTTCTATCCTCTCTCTTGGACCGCTAAGGCTCAGGGAATGTTCTGAGCTTTCCAAACCCAACCTGTTCTCTTATACTTTCTCCAGCTGGCTGAGAAGTGCAAATCATTATGTGATTGAGGACCTTGAGTTGTATAGTCCTAGATATCAGCTAAAGCTTCAGTCATATGCCTAAGGTTTTACCAACTAAAAGTGAATAAAATGCAAATGTAAGGGAAATGTGCTTTTTAAGAAGTAGGAAAGGGGTGGGGCACGTGGGTCACTCAGTTAAGTGTCCTACTTCGCTCAGGTCATGAACTCACAGCTTGTGAATTTGAGCCCTATGTCAGGTTCTGTGCTGACAGCTCAGAGCCTGGAGCCTGCTTTGGATTCTGTGTCTCCCTCTCTCTCTGCCTCTCCCCCACGCTCGCTCACTCTTTTGCGCGCTCTCTCTCAAAAATAAAAAATAAAACATTTTTAAAAATCTTTAAAAAGGGAGTAAGAAAGGGGTTCTACTTAAACTTTGAGGTTTTTTTTTTTTACTTATTTTAAAGATTTATTTTATTTTGAGAGAGACAATATGCAACCGAGATGGGGGTAAGGGGGAGGGAGAAGAGAGAGAGAAAGAATGAATCTTAAGCAGGCTCCGTGCTCAACACAGAACCCGATGTGGGGCTTGATCCCACGATCCTGGCATCATGATCTGAGCCAAAATCGAGTTGGATGCTCAACTGAGCCATCCAGGTGCCCCAAACTTTGAATTTAAATGATTTATATAATACCTTCTCCTCCAGGGATTATGGTTAATTAAGGATTCATTTTTTTAATCTTTTATCATGAAAATATTCAAACATGTTAGTAGAGAGAGGATAGTATAGTGAACAGCTACTTCTGATAACTATCACTGTTTTATGTATACTCTCACCCGTCCCGTCCTGCCTCCCCATCCCACCCACCATGTATACATTCTGAATTATTTTAACACAAATACCATACATGATATCCTTTAACTGCTTGCTTAATGGGTTATGGATTCTGTGCTGCCCTTGGTTGTGTAGGCCAGTTGAAGCTATAAATGATCATGGCTTTTGTCATTTTGTATTTTTTATCTTGAGAGAAAACTAGAAGCCTTTTTGCAATTTTTCCTTTACTGGGATTATACTGGGGTTGACAGCGATATTTACCATAACTTGGTAGTCAGTGTCCTGATGCAGGGCTAAGGCACGGAGTCCCCTTATGGGCTCCTTTTCTTCAAGATAACTTAGAAAATGTGGTTTCATTCAGATAATAGACTTTTGGAGATAAAGCCTTTAGGCTTATATCACTTCCTCAAAAGTGAACTGGCCCTACATGTCTGAATTGTCAATATCCTTCTTCTGTTAGATGAACCACGGTGAAACCGGAAAAGAAGGGGACACAGTAAAGGTGGCTGATGAGAAGATGCTTAGTGGGCTCACAAAGGACCTACAGAAGAGGTACATACCAGTGAGTGCAGGGGGCGGACGGACCCTCTGCACACGATCTACTGTCTTAATACTTGGGGGCAGTTTTTCTGTTTCTTCTTTGCATTGTTAAGTGAGTTAATATAGACTAACTTTTTAAAAGGGCATTTTTTAAAAAGCATTTTTCTGCACCAGTGGCTGGAATGGAACAAGCGATATTTTATTTCTAAATAAGAAACTGGAAAAACCTGCTTATAAAATGCATCTGAAATATTTCTTTGTTTCTCATTAGTTTGTTCACTAGACATGTGTATTCAGACTTGATGAAAGAGCCTTTGTTCCTAGAACTGCAGTGACCTAGCTAAATACTTGCCTCTTTGTTTTGTAGCTTGCCTCCCCTCATGGCTCAGAACCTCTCTATACCTCTGGCCTTTGCCTGTCTCCTCCATTTAGCCAATGAAAAGGTAGGTAAATCTGGTAAGGATGGGAGTATTCTGTATTCATGACAATCTGTTTGGGCTTTTATTAGATCTTTCACAGGCAACCTCATAGGACATCTTAAATACAGTGACTTATTAACTACTTTCAACCCAGAGGATTAACCAAACACAAGTAACTTAGAAAAAGACCACTGGTATGTTCAGCAATGAAAATAATGAGGAGGACCCAAATGGGAACATTTTTAGGTGCTGAATTGTGATCTGTCAGTTCCCAACTTTAAAACATAAAGTGCTTTTATATTATTAGGTGTCAGAGACTTTAAAGGCCAAATCCTGCCGGTGCCGAAGTCAAGACACACGGCGATGTGGTGGAGGACAGAGGGCCAGGCAAGGATGAAAGGAAAATAGATGCAGGAAGAGGATAATGAGACACGGAGGCCATGGCCAGCAAAGCTGAACCACCAACCGTGCTAGGCCCTGCGGTGTGCCACACCAGCCAGCAGAGCTGAGCAGCTGTGGCAGTTACCAAAAGAGCAGGCAGGGACCCATCTTCTCAAGAGTCTGGTCGTGGCTACCCAGGAGGCAGCCCAGCAAGGCAGCCAGCAACAAACCCCAACAAGTCACAGTGTGTGAGGCTTCATATCCTTTTGTGTCCCCAGGCAGCTGGTCCCTCACGTAGACTTTGGCTATTGAAGCAATGCATCACTAGGGCTGGGGACATCTAGCTACTATCGTGTACCTCAACTGTAGATTCTAACCTCCTCCGAGACAGGAACCTGCCCCAGAGCTGAGAGGTGGCTCTTAAGAGTGTGGCACCTATCTGAACACTGAAGTGTGGTTTGAGAAGGTTGGTAAGATTGCCCTAGAATGCTAGCAAAAATGGGGTGCTGTAGAAGCACCCAGGATTTCCTGTGTGCCAGTGCCTGACCTCTGGCCTCATAATTAAAATGACTCAGTGATGATCGGCTATTTCCCAGCTCTGGGTTTGCTTGGACTGACTGCTGGGCACAAAGGAGAGAGGTTCCCTTGTAGGATGACCTGTGTAGCACAGCCTTCAGCATATCCATGCAGACCTACCACTGGGAGTCAGGGACCACTGTTTCTCTTTCGAAGTTCATGACCTCACTGAAGAAGAAGAAAGTGTCCATTTGACAGAAACTAGTTTTGATTCTGGGCAGGGAAGAGATGTAGCCAGTGAGCCAGGACAGGTGCTGCATGTGTCCAGCCATGCTGCTGACTGTTGGGCCCGGGTGTTCACAACTCAGGCATGAACAGAGCAACCCAGCTTAGCTTCTGACAGGACGAGCTTCTCAACTTCAGAGCCGGCATGGTTGACTGTTGACCCAGGAGCACTGAACTTACATGGCTGCTGGATGGAAGGCAGTAAGCGGCAGTGGCTGGCTGGAGAGGTCATGTGCCCGGTTCAGAAGTCATGAGGACAAGGCTCGGGGGCACACAGCCCCATCCAGGGTTGTGGGAGATGCTAGTGAGAATGTCTCCATGTGAGTCTTGTCACATCCTAAGTTATCCTCTGTCGGAAGCATACTACATGAGGAAGGAACAGCTAGGAGGAAAAAAACAAAGATATATATTATTATTATCCTGACAAGAGATCCACAAATGGCTCTGAGGAGGATTCCCCATCTGAAGAGGAGGGCACACAAGCCGTCCATCTGTCTGACATTCAGAAGTGAGACACTGTGAAGCTGTTCTGGAGGAGGCCTGGAACCTCACACCATCTTTACGGACATAGGTGCTGGTGAACTCTCCCACTGGGTGTGTTCTCCTAGCACCCCCAGGCTCCTCAGCACAGGGTGCCTCCAAAGCTCAGAAACCCTTATCTTGAGTCCAAATGAAAAATGTTATTGATTTCACTCAACCACACCAGTCTGAGAATCAGTGTTGCCCTGGGCTGTGTGTCTCTGCAGAAGCCTGCCTCTCCCCTGTGAGAAGCAGCTTTATGGTCCACACTTGGCTCCCAAATAGACTGGGGCCGAGGAAACCCTGCTAAAAAGCATTAGTGACCTTGTGGCCTCACTAAGGTTCATAATACTCTGGCTCCAGCACTGCTTCCCCCAACAGCAGGGTTGGGATTTTGCTGTGATCGAGTGGGTCTTGAGGGGCCCAGAGCGCTTCGCATTTGAAGAATGGGGAGAGCGCACCAAACCAGAAACGCTTGGGGCTTGGCTTTGGGCTGTGTGAGAAGATTTGACTGTAACATTGACCCTGTCAGTTACCATGATAATCTGCAGGGATCTGTGGAAACTCAGAGCTTAGAAGCACCAAGAGAAATTCTACAACACTTAATACCAGAACATGACTTTTGTGGCCTTCTTTCTCCCAGTTTTTCACTCCCATCTGGACTCTTCATCAGCCATTCTGCTCATGAGCTCCCCTGAGAAGTGCAGTGTGAGGGGGCTTGGGTTGCAGTGGTGGACACCGGGTCCTCTACCTCCCTGGCCCTGAGTGCCAATACGGTGTGACTGATTAGCCAAACCTGAACCACTTCTGGAACCTGAGCCACAGAAGTCACACTTCAGGGGGTGGGATTTCAGCTTTCCATTGTTAGCAGTACAGGAAGGTGCACTAGATAGGGTGGTGTGGTTGCTGAGGGCCAGCACACCGTGCCTGCCTCTAGTGCCATGTGAGGGGAGGTATGCCTGTGGTGAGCTTAGGCAAGAGAGGCTTCTGGCATTTGTTTGGTCCTGAAGGAAACAAGTGCCTGGGACTGGTGGGGAATTCATGGGGTGGTAGAGTGAGACTCTTAGGTGGGGGAAGAGCTGGGAGGTAGGAAAAGGCCTGAGCAGATGGAGCGAGGGGGCTGTCATGGCCGTTCCCAGGGATGAGGTTATGGGGCAGTGATGGGGAGGGCCTGGAGAAGGCCACACAGGGACAGCGTTAACAAGCATGTGTTGTGTCTCCTGGTGGCTTCGCCATCTACTTCTTTTAGTTCCTTCCAGAGCAAATAGGTCAGCTCTTGGGCCTTTTACAGAGAGAGGTTGTTGCAGGAACCAGCACCAGGAAGTCTTCCTGTTTTGCCTTTTTTTCCTCTGCAATTGGCAAGGATTTGCAATTAGTTTTATTATGCAAATGATATTTGCTATAACATAATTTTCTTACAGTCATGGGACAAAGTTCATTCTTTGTAGTCACCACCCTGTTACCTTGATCAGAATCTGTTCATGTGTTTGATCTTCCTTTAGAATCTAAAGCTGGAAGGAACCGAGGACCTTTCTGACATTCTTGTGAGGCAAGGGGATTGAGTTTGCCCAAGAAAAGTTGGCAGAAGGCAGCTCATCGCTTCTTCAGTGACCAGGATGTCCCCACCCTGGGTGCTGCAACTGTGGCAGGCCTATGGCAAGCCTGTAGCCCACCACCAAAATGCCAGGTTTTTATCTGTTGATCTTCCCTTCTCTCCCTCACAGTCTGGGAACCAGAACCCGGAAGCTCTTTGACTAAAGTCGCCTTGTGGTGACCCCCTAGCAGGGAGGAGATGGTGAGGGTACTGTTCTTGATTATGAAAACCTATATCCATACTTTGTATTCATGTCTTGTTTTTGCCTCCTAAATTGATCTTTGTTTCTTTCCACACTTTTGTAGAAAATTACTTCCCAGGAGGCACTAGTTGTCTTTAAACAGCTATCTAAGCCATGTACATAAAATACATCGTATGTGCACTTACAAATGTATATATATTATGAATGCTTAAAATAAAATAATTCTGAATAATATGCTTGACAAAGTATTTGAGTATCTTCTAGGTAAGTTTTAGAGCTGGTCCTTCCCCTTAAGGGGGGATGCAGTCCTGTTAAGTAGATGAGGTGCCCATATGTCAGTAAAGGCAGGAAACACTTAAGGGCTGAGGAGATTTGTCTTGTAGCAGAATAGAGGAGAGAGAAACCACTGGCCAGAGATTCAGATTTCCAGATTGGGTCCATTGGGCCTATGAATTCTACTGGAGAGTGATGGTGGTAAAAATCGCTAACCTTTGTTAAGTGGCTACCTTCTGTGGGTTACTTCACTCAGCATTCTTAGCATCTCTTTGAGGAACATACTTTCATCACTCCCATTTTATAGAGAAGAAATAGGTACTTGAAGGTAAAGGAACCTGCCTAAGGGCAGACAGCTGTCAGAGACTGATCTTGAACTAATGTGCTTCTAGATCCTTTGTTCTTAGCCACTTCATATGCTGCTCAGATCACAGGCTCTGCCTGTAGGCGTTGATCCAAATAATTCTCTCCTTGGCAGGTCATCCATCTCTACCAGAGCACCCTGTCACCACTCACTGGGTAAAGAGAGATCTTGGATGTTAGATCGGAAGCAGTGAGGTATAATATTGACAATAGCTCTTGATAATACAGAATTTACTTCTAAGCTGAAAATCACGCAAAACACACAAACACACACCCCAGGATGTGCTTCCCAAATTGTTACCTGCTCTGCCACATTAAGAGGGTAGACTTGTGAACATGCTTTAGAGGAAATGGCAGGGATGCTGAGGGAGGATCCCTCACGCCTTTCCCCTGCAGATGAGTGGTGCCTCTCCTGCTCTGCTCTCACTCCTGGGAGTGCAACCTGCCAACCCCACATACACTCCTCTCTTGTCCTGTTTCCCAGGGATGATTCTGTTCAGTAAAGCAGGGAAGAGCCTGTGTTTGCTCATCTGCACATCAGGTGTACCGGATGCACTGCTCATATCGGACTAGAGAAGCAAAGTGCTCCTCGGGGCTCTGCAGACACTAAGCTGCCTTGGAGTCTTCCAACAGTCCTGAATTCATCACATTTTATTCTTTTTGATAAGGATGATTTATGAAATGGGGCGCCTGGGTGGCTCAGTCGGTTAAGCGTCTGACTTTGGCTCAGGTCATGATCTTGTGATTCGTGGGTTCAAGCCCCATATTAGGCTCTGTTCTGGCAGCTCAGAGCCTGGAGCCTGTATCGGATTCTGTATCTCTTATCCCTGCCACTTCCTCACTCATACTGTCTCTCTCTCTCAAAAAAAAAAAAAAAATTATGAAGAAAAGGCTATTTCATTTGCATACCTTTGTAAGATTTCCATGTGAGCAAACTCAAGTCAGAAAAAAAAACCTTTAGTCAGGTTAAATGGAACAGTATTGCATTCGTATCTCTCATAGGCCACGTAGTGCCTCTCTCAGTGGGTTGATATCTCAACACTGTTCATTCTGAATTAAGTGTCCCTCGCTTATGATGTCCTTGCCCCATCTCTGCAATGATAATTAAGACTATGAGGAGCCACTGTGGGTGGTCGCATCTCCAATGAAGATAAACTTCCTTTGTCCTTTGCAGACGGCTGGCTGGAAAGTTTCCTTCTGGAACTCTGCTAAACAAGTTTTTTTCCTTCCTCAGGAAGGAAATAACAACAGTTTCCCACATTTCCCTGCTTGTCAGGAGACTGGGAGCAAGCTGTTCCAGATCTGAGTCCGAGCACAGTCCTGTTTCATAACAGAAATCTTCTCCCTAACATCAGAGATTGTTTTTCCTGGATAAGGATGAGTGGAATTCATTTACAACTGGGTTTTCCAAAGTGACATCTGGTCACAGTTCTTTAGGAATTAAAAATCCTGGAGAACCAGAGAAAGAGACAGCCATTCCCTGGAAGGAAATGCTACGGCATCAGAGTGCCCTCCCTCTTCCTATCAAAGGTGCTATCAGGCCACAAAAACAACGGAGGAGGGTGGACACCTGAAGACCTAGTGGTGGAAAGTCCCCCTGTGGCAGGAGGAAATGTGGCCAGTGTGGAAAAGAGAGATGAAACCACTGAGGCTGACGTGTTCAGCTTCACCAGCGAGGGTGTCCTTGGGAAAAACACGCGAGACTACTACTTTGCCAAAATGCAAACCCTGTTTGGGAAACCATCTCCTGTTCTTACAGATGAATAGGGACACTGAATTTGGGATATTGCCTTAAAAGTGTCCCTCTGGGGCTCGGTAACCTGTAAAATAAAGTTTCTGTAAGATAAAGATGAGAGTTGTAACAGTCTACAGACAGACTGAAGACAGAAACCTAGAACAAGAATAAAGAACTTACTACAGGGGCACCTGGGTGGCTTAGTCGGTTAAGCGTCCGACTTTTGCTTAGGTCATGATCTCGCGGTTCGTGGGTTCGAGCCCCGCATCGGGCTCTGTGCTGACTGCTAGCTCAGAGGCTGGAGCCTATTTCAGAGTCTGCATCTCCCTCTCTCTCTGACCCTCCCCTGCTCACACTCTCTCTCTCTCTCTCTCCTAGAAATAAATAAAAGTATTTAAAAAAAAAAAAAAGAACTTACTACAAAGAACTGTTTACTAGGAATATAGGGCATCTAAATTAGCAACTGCTGGAAGCAACCAGCAGTCCCAGGGCTGGGAAAACAAAAGGAACAAAGGAAAACATCAAAGAGATTTCAAAGAGGGCTCCGCAGAGCAGAAACTGCCCCGAGGAAGGCATTGCTGCCCAACTGACAATGATGTCTAAGGGGGGACTTGGTGAAGCTGGTGCTGGGTGCTGGAAGATCGGTGGGTCGCTTGCCGATGTGAGGAAGCACCACTGGGCGGATCGGGAAGCGGACAAGAAGGAGCGAGTCCTTTTTTCTCCAGCCCTGCGGTCTCTTTCAAGTGCCTCCCCTTGGCATAACCTGGCTGAGAGCGGCTACCAAAAGAAATGGGGCCTGCAGAGTGGCACAGAATAGAGAGTGGGTTTGGAGCTGAGGGACTGATGAGGGAGCGTGGGGCAGGCTGAGGGCAAAATACAGGCTAATGGCAACCTCGTCACAGGTGGAATGTGTGTGATATTCCTCAGACACTCCTGGCTACCCAAGAACAAATGAAAGGGGTTTAAGTGCTTGCTATGGTGATGTGGGAAACTAAGGCAACGGAAAAATTAAGTTCCCTTACTGCCCTCAGCCCATTGACAAGTCCTTGAGACCAGCAGAGTGACCTCCCTCTAGAAGGTCAGCTGCCTCCACAATGGCACTTTGCAAGGGGCAAAAGAGAACCTTGGCTTAACATTATTCAACCTCAAGGATATTGTAAGTCTACTTCCTTTATCTCAACTGCCCCCAAGATAACGTTGGCAGTCATACTCCAAGCCTATGGCCTCCAGATAAAGATCTGAAGGGTCTCATGACTGAGGTTTTACTAAAAGGTAATAAATGGCATCTCCCTAGCAATAGCTAGCCCGTCAAGGTCCTGGAAACCTTGCTCCCAAAATACCTTAGAGACTTACTCTATCTCTGACCCCCTCCCAACCTGAGGGTATATAATGAGTTACCCGTCACGACCCCAGTGCAGCTGTTCTTGCTCATGGGTCCTGTCCCTGTGCTTTAACAAAATCACTTTTTTGCACCAAAGATGTCTTTGAGAACTCTTTCTTGGCTGTTGGCTCCAGACCACCCCACCATCACCCCAAAACTTCATCAGGATGATTACCTCAGAGGTGGCACAGGGTAGGTCTCATCTCGAAGGATTCTAGAATCCTTCCTTAATGATTCTGTTTGAAATAGGCTTTAATAATATTTGTTCACCTATTCCAGTGAGATACTGGTATATATGTTCAACTGACTCTGAAGGTGAAGCCCAGGGAGGCCTTGAGGGCGAGATGGCGCCCATCTGCCTTTGAAGAGTGGAGACCTGCTGCAGGTATTACAGGCTGACAAGGGGAGCAGAGGTGTGGAGTGAGGGGTGTACAGCGTGGCAGGTGCTATCAAGACCGAAGGATAAAACAGAAGCAATCTCCCTAAAGTGGAGTAAATGCCAGTGGTTGGAAAGGAATGGAGAGAGATTAGGAAGGTCGCCAAGTAGGTCCCACGTATGACAATTAGGGAGCCCAGAAAGAACAGAGAAAATGGAGAGGAGGAAATCTTACCAAAGAATTAATAAAACCCATATCCTGCGGCTGGAGGACCTGGGTTTTCAGATCAAGACTTATTGTCTAACACATGGATGACAATAAACCCACACCAAGGTACCTTGTCATAAAGTTTCAGAGCACTCGGGACAGAGGGTTCTACCAACTTCCGGAGAGAAATAGGTCACACAGGGGCAGGAAGAAGGGTGTCAGACTTCTCAGCGCGGCACTAGAACCAAGAAGATAAAAAAGCAATGCCTTCAAAATTCTGCAGGAAAATGGTTTCCAAATCTAGAATTTTATATTTGGCTAAAAATACCAAACAACTGTGAGAGTAGAATAAAGACAGAGTTTGGGCCATGCGATGTTTAAAAGACAAAAACAACCCTCAGATGTACCCCTTCCTGGAAGCAGTCTATACCAAGTCCCTGCTAGATGCCCAGGTGCCCTGAACCCTGTGCTTCCAGGCCTCCTTTGTGGCCTCACCCACTCACTGCCTGGTGTGGCCTCATAGATGCTCAGGAGAGCTGAGGCCAGCCTCTGACGCAGACATTCTGCTTTGTCTGACCTTCCGCTGCTCCGTCTCTTGGGACCCTACTGCCCCTTCTTTGCACGGTGGGGTGTTGTGCTTGCTACTCATTTTCTTAAAACTGAGCAATACGTTATTTAGAGATCCTACATAAGTAGTAAGACTATGAAGAAGAGCAAGAGAATGGCTACTATAAAAGTCAGGAAAGTGGTTACCTCTGGTGGGGACAGAGGTAGAGGAGCAGGTGGAGAGCCCCAAGCGGCTTCTGAGGTACTAGGGGGATGGGCACACTGGTGTATGCTTTCTTTTCTGATTTCCGTGGCACATTGGTCTCTGGCAGGAATTAGCATTCCAAGCCTC